GCCACTGCACTCCAGTCTGGGCGACAGAGTGAGACTCCAACTCAAAAAAAAAGAAATGCCGGTGGTACTTCAAAAGCCAGAGCAGATTTCCCTCTGCCAAAAGGGAAGCCTGGCTTTCCCCCAATTTATCCCGCCAAAAAAACAAACAAAACCTCAACCCACCCCAATTCATGCTTAATGGCTACTCTCTTTTTGATTTTCCATTTTTCTCCAACAAGCTTTTTTGAAATCTGATGCCTGCGACCACTTGTTGGCAAAGAGATGCCAGCAGATAGACAAATGAACAAGGTGCTGGCAAGTGTTGATAGGAAAACTTGGAAAGAGCCACCTGCTTATTTGGACTATAGTTTTCTTCCTGTGAGCACATGCTTGTGGCTGCAGTTTCATGTATATAGTTATTGAGTTGGGAGTCTCTGTCACCCAGCTGGAGTGATGGGCCACAATCACGGCTCACTGCAGCCTCGACCTCCTGGGTTCAGGCAAGCCTTCCACCTCAGCCTCCCAAGTAGCCTGGACTACAGGCGTGCACCACCACACCTGGCTAATCATTTTATTTTATTTTTGTAGAGATGAGATCTCGCTATGTTGCCTAGGCTGGTCTCGAACTCCTCAGCTCAAGTAATCCTCCTGCCTCGGTCTCCCAGAGTGCTGGGCTTACAGGTGTGAGCCATCATGCCCAGCCTCATATATGGTTTTATAAGTGTCAGTTTAATTCCGTTAGACAGTTCTCTGCACATTAAACTTGTCAGATGCCAGCTTTCTCCTTTTAAGCTCTGCCACAAACAACACAACTCCCACTTGCTCTGGCTCCTAAATATGTTAGGAAGTCCTGGTCTAGTTCAGGTCCCATTCACAGAAGGGCAAACAGGTGGTGGCAACGCGAGAAGGTCATGAAAAAGTGCCCCAGTTGGCACAGAGTGTCTTCCTCTCCCATCCCAGCATCCATCATCAGGCACTGCATCCCCCACCCTTTCTTGGGACGACGCTTCCTGTAGTTCCAGCTGCTTCTATTTACTGCAGCTTGTATCCTTAATATTGGTGCCAGCTGCTTTTTGGGGGGGTGGTGGGAGTCTCTGTCAACCAGGCAGGAGTGCAGTGGCACACTCACAGCCATCGCAACCTCAACCTGCTG